GCTGCTCACAGGTTCTGTAGATGTTATCTCCGTCCAATAGTTTAGCAAAAAAAATACGTTGAAAAGAAGCAGGCTTCAGAGTTTCATCATTGGTAAACCGCGATTAGAGAGAACGAGCGTTTCAACTTTTCCTTGGAACTGTTGATTCATTCTGATGTTTCAGTTTTATTACAGACCAGCAGAACTAATGGAAACCATCACGATTCAACAAATGTGCCATCTTGAGAAATTTCTCTCTTTCTTCCTTTGTAGAGTCATCGACACTATTCATACATATTTCTGACATGGATTAACTTGTAGTGAGTGTTTTCTGAGTGGCTTAGTGGCCTTGAGCAGCTTTTTTTTTGTACTCAGGGCTTCCCTGCACTCAGTCAGCAGCGCTTTACTACTGGACTGTAGTGTTGGTTTGTTTAGGTTTTATTTTGGCCTTTTTGCCTTTATTGTGTTGGACAGTTGAGAGAGAGAGAGAGACAGGGAAGTGGGGGAAGGACTTGCAGCAAAGGGCCGTGAGTGGGATTCGAACCCATGACCGCTGCATTGGGACCTGTACGTGGGTCTCCAGCTCAACCAGTTGAGCTAAAGTTGAGTTTTGTTGTGTTTATTTGTGGACATGTGCTGCTGCCTTTGGTCGTCCTTGTGAAAGAGGTTTTGATCTCAATGGGTTCTTTATCTGGTTACATGAAGGTAAAATAAATTTAATAAAATATAGCGGCGGCCCAACTGTACTGTTTGGTTGTAGAGCTGAGCTGGTTAATTGATTAATTAGTCAGTTGGCATTTTCACAATGGAGTATTTAATACAGGCAAACAACAACCCCCCATCTGAACAAACAGACATCTGGTTTCTGCTGCTTGTCTCTGACATATGAAGAGTTCATTTGCAAAAACAGGCAACTCCATTTTTGTAGATTTTCAGGAAATATTTTTGTTGTTGTTGTTTGCTTCAGATAATATCAAAGTTGAGTGGATCTGACTCAGTAGAAATGACAAAAGTAGAGATAGTAAGTTAGTTTGGTTGATATTGTCTCAGGTAGACGATGGAAACGTGGGTTTTCTGAAGCTTTGTGAAGATGGAGGTAATCTGTTTTTGAAAATGAACTCTTCATATTCTTGAACTAATACTTTTAAAGTTTTGTTCAGACACAACAAGCGGTTTAAAGACGGGACCGTGGGCTCGAGGAAACCATTTCTCTAATTGTTTCTCTACTACAAAATGGTCTGAGAGTTACCCAAAGCAAATTAATTTTAATTGAAACAGATATCCAGGATTGAGGGGGACTGTGATGCAGATATAACGTCGGTGTCACTTGGCTGCTGGCCGTCTGCCAGGATCCCCGTGTTGGTGGACAGCATGCTGACCTCTTATCTTGGACAAGTTTCTGTGCCCTGGAGGGGATTTCCCAGTCTAATCTACTGAAGTAATGCATGCTGCAGCCGTCTTTTCTAAACATAGTTTAAACTGCTGTAGAAATACATCTCGCACTTGCGCTAATCCGTGCGTGCTAATAAGCTCACACCTCCAAGAGTCCAGAGTGGGAGCTGAGAAAACCCTCAGGAGGTCCTGATACAATGTCGTGTTGACATAGGTTAGCGCGCCTCACGCTGGGACAAATGTCATAACATTTTTTTTTTTCCCAGTCTCGCCTCCCGCTGTGTCGCTGGAGTTCAGGCGCTGGGTTTTGTACACAGACTTTCCCTCCGCTCTGCTTTGATTGTTTTACCTGTCTTCTCTTGTGAGGTATGAATTGCATGCACAGAGCTGTCCCCCCCCCTGAGAGGGTCAGACCAGACAGACAGACTGACAGACCAGACAGGCAGGGAGACAGTCTGACAGGCAGGCGGGCCGACACACACACACACACACACACACACACACACACACACACACACACACACACACACAGGGAATTCCAGACAATGATACAACAGTGCTGTCTAGCTATTTATTGTTCCTCCTCGGGTTTAATGTACAACAACACCCAGAAAAGCTGCGTCGTACCAAAACTAACTCGTCGTTTCTTCTGCAGCAAAGCGACGCGTCGGCTTGTTTATGTGGTCGCATCGCTGTGGTTTCTGCAATTGTTTAGCACATAAAAGCACACAAACGAACCTGTTAGCCGCGTCAATTACAACAAACAGCAAGTTGTTTCAGAGCATTTCATTTGTTGGGGATGTTTTAAATTTACTTCCTGTATTTACCTGATGGCAGCAGTGAAGGTTCTCACAAAATTTTATATACAAACTGAAAGTAAGAAGTTTTTCCCTGTCGAGCCCGAATGTTTCCCGTTTACATGTTGACAGTGTTCTGGGCGGATCACAACCCCTGCCTAATTATTACTTTTTGTCGTGAGACTTTAGGTTGACGCCGAACGAAGCGGAGAAAGTCCACCTCAAACCTTTAATCGCTTCATCTCTCCTGCGATATCAGGTCGCCGGTTAATCAGAGTGAGAATTGATCAGACGTCTGGCCCGCCGTCGTCGCGCTCCTGTGTGTTTGGATGGAAGACGGGGGCCCCATCACTTCCTGCAGATTCAGACGGTGTTGTGTGTCTGCGTGTGTGTGTTGGTGTGTGTGTGTGTGTGTGTGTGTTTTGGTGAGAGGACGGCGGCTGAAAAGGAGAAGGAGGGGCCTTTGAATTCAACAGGACCCCCATTGCTTGGTGTTTGAGTAGAGTTTTGGCATTCTATCTTTTGTCTGTTTTGTTTTGCGCGCTACCCCCTCCGCCGCCCTGCCACCCCCACCAATACCCCCACCAATACCCCCACCACCACCACCGCCACCCCTTCCCTCTCTCTCTCCTCTACCCTCTCTTCTGTGTGTCTGTTGGCTGATGAGTTTGTCTCTTTGTCTGGATTCAGTCAGACACTGCGTCACCTCCTGCCTACAGACACACAGACTCAGAGATAACATCACAGTGGCAGAGACTGAGGGAAGGGGGGAGGGAGGGAGGGAGGGAGGGAGGAAGGGAGGAAGGGAGGGAGGGAGCAAGGAGAGACAGATGTACAGACAGAGCCCTAGCAGTGGGGGGATGGGTATCTCTCACACATCAATCATTGGCTATGTGCCGAGGAGCCAGCTTGTTGTAGTAGTTCATAGTTCAATACTCCGACCCACTCCACCACTGCTAATGAATGCTTGGATTTCAATGGGAAAAGTGCCCAAACTGCATTCACATACCAACTTCTCGCAAGTAGCCAAATAGCAGAATGACAAACCTCGAGATTGTGTCAGCCTCAGACACCGAGAGAGAGCGAGAGAGTGTGTGTCAGTGAGCGCAATACCTTTAGGATTGTGATGAGGGCTGTAATTACTTCTGTCAGTCTCAGGTAACTGAAGTCGGGATCTCTGTGCTATCTCTGATCTGTGTTAATGGAGCGAGAGCGCACAAGGGGAAGAAAATTGGATTTTAAGCTATCATTAATTTTAGCTATCTGAAGTGGGATGTTCTGGCGTGCGAATGCCAGAGGATGCTTTCAGCGAAACTGTCTCGGATGAAGCGGCGTTGGCAGTTAAATGCAGGGTCAAGTGTAATAATGAGGAAGTGGAGGGATTGAACCTCATCCTGCAAGCAAAATAAAAAATAAAGAAAAGGAGGGGGGGGGAGGCTACCATACGACAAAGAGTGGCATCACAGGGAGCGAAATGAGACGCATATGGGCTGTCATGGTATGAAGCTCTATCCTCCCCCTCAGAGCTGATGGTATAGATATGGAAGTAGTCAGAGCTACATGTAAGCAGGGAGGACAGGGGGCGAGCCAGGCTGTTCACTGTGTGGGTGGTGCTGAGAGAGAGAGAGAGAGAGAAACACACCGAGCAGCTAAGCAGTTAGCTAGAGGAGAAGAAGTGCAGGCTGCTACCCCCATGGGACTGCAGCATGGCTGGCGGAACAGCTAACATGTATCTGCGAGTGTATATGTGTGTGAAAAAGTGGGGGTTGGGATGCAAATGAAGTTAATGTGCATGCATTATATGTCAGTGGGCTCGCCTCGCTGTCTGTCTTAGCATGCGTGATGTTTCTGTGGCTCATGTGAACCCAGCCTGGTCTGCAGGAGAAGTTCTTCAGCATCCACATCTCGTCCCCAAAGTCTCGAGAAAAATGTAGAATTGTATTAATAATTTAGCGTCCGAGGCTGCGTTGTGTTTTGCAGACGGTGTTGCTGCGATCGTAGGTTCGTCAGCGTGTTGTCTTTGTGCTGTGTTGTCCTTAATCAACCAACTGTCCCAGATCAGAGACCCCAGGGTGTTTTTAATGTCCTCCTAAAAAGCTATAAACAGTACACGTACCCTCATCTATAGGTGAATTGAAAATCTATACCTTTTTGTGTACGGCTGTGACAGCAGATGCTGTTGCTACGTTGCTATGGAGATAAAGCGCTCGCATGCTGGATACAAACTCGGGGTAAAAAGGTGGCTTCTGCGCTAAAACAGACTTCGTTTACTGGCGTGCTCGGCTCCATACTAAACAGTATGAACCTAAACTGTTTTAAAAATCGGATCCTCTGGAGGTCCTGCCCGGTGGTGGACGGTCACGGAGGCGTCTGTATGTTGTGAATGGTTTGCAGGAATTGCAGAGCATCATCGCACAATAGCTGTCGTCTAAATAGTGAAACTTGGTAGATAGGTTCGGTTCCACATTCATGTGCTCCAGATGTTTGCCACTGCAGATATGAAAATGCACAAAGTATTTACAGTTCATCTGAGTTTGATTCATTCATTTGTTCATTGTCTTATGAAAGACGCTGATACACGACATCTGTATTAACTGTGGCATCTGAATAGACACGAGGAACATAGTCCATACCGTTATATTCTTCAGCTCTTATGTTCTGCTTGTATTTTCTTGTTGGTTTCAGCTTACACAGAACGTACACTCATGCTAGTAACAGGTGAGGAAACCCTTGTTACGAGCATAATAGGTGTCCCTGACTGCACTCCTCACTTCCTGTCTCCAGTCAGCCCATTGTGCTCTATTGACTGCCGCTATCTTCTTTTTCCTTCAGGGCCATTCCACACTTCAGGCATCGCAGGACTCCAACACACTATTAACATGGACGGCAGGGACGAGTTCACCGAAGACAGTGAATGCTGCAGCAACAACTCCCAAGAAATCCAAGGGCAGGATAGCCTCTCAGGTACAGGATGGAGGGACGGGACGGGGGAAGGACTGACGGACTCTGTGGGAACGTCCTCGGACTGACGGGTGTTAGTGAGAGTAAGCCCTGCTCTGTGCTCTGTTGTCTGTCTGTATTGATAGGGCTGTGTTTGCCTCCATAGAAGACAGCGATAGCGACCCTGACAACCACGGTGAAGACTCGTCCTCCAACACCTCGGCCGACGACCACATGACCACCAAGAGAACGCAGTGCCGCCTACAAGGAGCGGGAGTCAAAGAGGTGAGAGGGAAGGTAGCCGCATCGAGCAAACAAACGAATGTCCTGGCCTCAGAGAAGCCGCTCTGATGTCAGTGGTTTGTAATGATCGCAGCGCACCATTTTTGTTTATTCCTTTGATGATATTTTGCTTAAATAATTTGGAGCACTGTCTCTATGTGGCAGTGCAGGAAACCATACTGTAGCCTGAACATACAGATGTAAATTACTGACAATGATCTGCTCAGCAGCTAATTATAGGTCACCTGTTTCCCTCAGAGATGGGTGCCTTATAGATATGGTGGTTTTCATGGCAACTCTTCTGTAGGCTGTGAAGGTTCAAAGCCTTTTTTTTTTTTTTTTTTGTTCAGCTCTCGTCTGTATGAAACAGCAGTCGATGTGAACACTAATTTACATCTAGATGTCCATTATGTGTTTAATATGTGCTGTACAGCCGTTAGCCATTATAGGCTCTGATGCAGTTTTCATAGGTTAACGGTTAGCGAGCAGGCCACGGCTAATGTGTTACATCTGAGAGGAGATAACAGGGCCAACAGGAACAGGAAGCGCTCGTATGTCGTATCTGTTGTACCGGTATGTTAAGACCTGATGCGAAACACAACTAGTTACACTCAAAGTCCATCTCCGATCATTGGTTAAACCCCCAGAAACTTGTTACTACATCCCAAAATTACATATTTAGATTTTTTCTTTCCTGTCATAAGATGGCGTAGATGTAACTCCAGACCAGCGATCTCCAACTCCGATCCTCCTGAGCTACTCTCCTGCAGGTTTTAGATGTTTCCTGACTCACATTAATGGATCTCCTACAGCTTGTCGTCAACTTCTACACAAGCCTGTTAATGATCCATTAATGTGAGTCAGGTGTGTTGCAGTAACGTCTAAAACCAGCAGGACAGTCGCTCACGAGGACCAGAGCTGGAGATCGCTGCTCTACACCGTTGCTTCTTCTAGAATGTGCAGATCTATGAAGTCCCCGCTGCTTTCTCCACCCACCCCTCTGCTGCTTGAGCACACCAGCTCGCTTGCAACTCTAGCACACACTGTAAAACCACTCAGTGCTACTTAATGGCAAATACTGGAGTAATTCAGCCGTACGTGTTCGAACGGGAAACTGATTCTGAGGAAGGATAATGATGCTTGAGGTCCCACATATGAACCCTTGAAGACTGAATCTATATTTGTTTAGCAACAGCGAGCTTCTTTCACTCGCGACGTGTTTAGCACGGAGAGAAAAAACACAATATGGATATGTTAGCGTGATTAAAAACTAGTTTACATTGCAGGAGCTGTGGAGAAGAATATGTAATAACTTTTTTATTTAAGCATTTATAAAAACACTTGAATATTTGCCACTTTCATTTGACATTTTTTAGGGTAAATGAGTGAAATTGGTAGACGGAAGAGATTTATAATGTCCTGTTATCAAACAGAACTCGTGTAAGGTGTGACAGCTCGCGACTTTTGTGACGCAAAACGCGCCGACGTGCTCTTAAAAGTAACGAGCACTTCAGTTTAACGAACGCCCCTGGTGGCTGCCAATATGTTTTGTGGCCGGACCTTCTGTTTGAAAAATGTTCTGTAATTCAGCCTGTGCTTGAGTCACATCTGTGACAGCACACAGCATCATGTTGCTGTTCATGAGTCACTGGGCGCCGCGAGAATTTTGCTCAGTCACTCAACACATCATCATACGCTCGCAAAAACGCTTCAGATGGAAACATATGAAGCGAGTAGTGAACTCACAAAAGGCCTTCTGCACCTGCCGGGATACAAGCAGTAGATGTTCTATAGATAAGGGAAAGTTTAACTGTGCATACAGTCAAATGTGTTCATACCCTTCCATTAAAGAAAAGCCAAAATTCACAATAATCAGTCAAAAAACTAGAAACTGAAAAAAGTAATAATAAATAAAAATTTGCTAAATTATAAGTTAGTGAAATAAGACATTGCTTTTGAATTGTGGTGGAAAAGAATAATTTATAAAAACAAAACAAAAACTATCCCGGACAGTGATTGGCTCAAAAGGTTGTTCAACTAAATATTAGTTTGCATGCTTGTTTGCTTGTTTTTAAAAATATATATATTTCTGTTGAACCACAATTCAAAAGCAATGTCATGATTGTCATTAAATTTTTATAATAATAATAATATAATAATAAACTTTATTTATAGGGCACTTTTCAAAACAAATGTTACAAAGTGCTTTTCAATAAAAATAAATTAAAAATTAAAATACAATAAGCACACAGAATAATTGATAAAAGTAGAACGCACACAAATAAAGCAGGAAGCTATAAAACTTAAATAAAATCAGGAAAAGCTCTCCGATAAATTAAGAAGTGACTTAAAAGAGAGCACAGAGTTAGCCGACCTGATTTCCTCGGGGAGGTCATGCCAGAGCGTCGGACTGGAAACGTTCTGTTATTTATTATTACTTTTGTTAATTTCAGCTTATTTCAGTGACAGTTGTTTGTGTTTTTTTTCTTGTTTAATGGGAGGGTGTGAATAAATTTGAGGACGACTGTAATTACTCAGAAAACATTGGTTGAATCTGGTCGTATTTTTAATCCTAATTGTCCAAATTGATTGGACATCCCGTGAGTTAAACATAAAATTGCAGAAGTATTGTACATTTGTTCTTTGCACTAGTTTTGATCCTGAAATGTGTTTTAATGGAGCTCGACTTTCCTCAGGAGAGCGAGGAAGGGGCAGACCACGGCAACAACTTCGTCTGTCCTCTCTGCACGCTGGATTTTAGCAGCCCTGAGAAGCTCATCTCCCATGTCTACCAGGTGAGATCGTGTCGCTGGTCCTGGTCTAGAGCTGAACCTAGAAAACAAAGAAGCCTCATTGCCGTCTGCTGTCTTATCCAGCGCTCGCTTTACCATTTAGCCACACACGAGTGAAGATTACTATACTGTATATTTTGTTAATGCTTTCTTAAGAATGCTGGCCTTGCAGGTTACTTCTTCATCTTCATTTTACGATAATCCACACCTCGTACTCTGTGTCCTCACTTGTGAACACTCTTACCTTCAGTCACTTATTTGTATTGTAACTCCACTTTGCATAATTCACACCATCACCACTTCACACTTTTTTTTTCTTTTTCTTCCCAAATGTCAGTCAGTTTGTGGTTCTTGCACTTAAAGTTGCAGAGAGATGCTGCACGCTGTTACTTTAAGAATGAATTATTGTTTAATTATTATAACCTGTGTGGATCATATAGACGGCGGCACGAGACAGAACCGTTGCTGTGTGTGACTGATGTTGCTGTTGTCATGCACGAAAGCACCTGAGGACTCATTTGTAATCAATAAAATAGCCTGCCATGTAAATTAATCAGGTTTTTTTTTTTCCAATTTTGCATGCACATCTCATTGTGTGAGATTATTATTCAATTTCAGCAACAAGAATGTTGTATTTACCAGCAGTTTTTTCCTCAAAAACAATTAAATTTTTAGATAAAATCATAATTTTACCTGCTTGTGGTATGTTCATCACACTACAAGCACATTATAATTATTTTTTTTGCAGTCATGAAACTGAATAATATTAAAAATGTTCAAATATCTGCTTCAGTTGTTTTGTTTGCAGTCAGTGAAGCACAAAAGCAGAAACCAGCTTCGCCTCTTTTTGACCATTTCATCGTCCATCAATTTGTTCCTTTTCTAAATTTTAAGAAGCAGCTACAGCAAAAAAAAAAGTTGTCATCTTTGTAAACGTTCGCTTTTCCTGTTCTCATCTCGTCTTTAACAGCACACGACCATGATGAGCAACACCAAGAGCTATGTGTGCCCAGTGTGTGGGCGAGCCCTGAGTTCGCCTGGCTCACTTGGACGGCATCTTCTCATCCACTCCGAGGACCGCCTCTCCAACTGCGCTGTCTGTGGTGCACGCTTCACAGACACCAACAACTTTAACAGGTTTACCTCGTCTCCACCGTAGCGCTCGTCTCGGCTCTAAAACGCAGATTATTTTATTAAAAGAATAAGACTTGAAATGTTTCAGATGTAATCGATAAAATGGCGTTTGTGTATTTACGTAGATAAAAATGACAGAATGTAGCATGTTTCTGTCTTGTTAGTGTTTTTTAATTAATCTTTAGACAATTCAAACTCATCCCCACGGTTCAGTAACCAACAACAGATCTATTTATCTGAAAGCCAGACAGTGTGTTGACAGATTCAGGAGGAGGAACTATTTTACACGATGCAGTTTAATTCCTCATCCTGAGCCAAACATTTCCTTTTCAAATGATTAAAAAGTAAATTGCAGACCACAGTCTTTCTAAAGACAAATATTATAGTCCAATCTGTCAAAAAGACTGCATTCTGCATGTTTTAAATGATAATACGTCGTTAGTTCGCTACCCTGGAACACAATGGAGCAGTGGTTCTTCAAGTGTGAGGTTAGGCAGAATGCAGACATGAGGGATGAATAAAATTAGTCCTGGAATGACAGATTTAATGGAAATAAACTTGCATGTTGCTTAGCAACTACCATTACGTTTTCAAATTTAAACAGCACAGGCAAGGTCAGGACGCGCAGAAGAAGGAGAAGCAGTGAGAAACGAGAAAGAGCGCAGAAGAGAAAAGTCATGAGCTGTTGTAGTTGGCAGACGCAGGTGTTACTAAGTTTAGAAAAAAAAAATCGCCGTAAATACGTCGGAACTGAGGGGGAAGATGGAAAAGATGCTTCTTAAAGGTGAACGGAAAATCCATTTGATGTTGGAGGAAACCACAAATACATACGATCCGCTGTAGCTGTTGTTCTTTAGATGAATGTCTCCACCCAGCTACATATTCCACATAGCAACAGAGACAGTCTCTGTACAACAGAGAGCTTGTTCAGCATCTGGTCCACATGTTTTAGTCCCGCAGTGTTATCAGCTCCTCTGTGACTTTTCCAAGTGTGTTGAATGTCTTTGTCAGCTGGCAGTAGACGATGTGACACACTGTCCTGTTCATCTCTGAAACAAATCTTTCGGGGGAAATGAATAAGATGAAATGAGTCATCTTTTACCATTTGGACAAAATGGTTTCAAATCATGTCAATAAAAGCAGCTTGATAGATGAAGCTAAATCTGACTGCTGTCTAAATATGTGACTATATGGACCAGGTTGTGGTTACAAGCTGTTGGATGGCAGCTAAAAAGAAAACCAGGCTACGATGCTGGCTGTTAAACAGATTTAATTGTAGAATAGTAAAAAAAAAAAATAGGTAAAATCACTTGTATTATTAAAAACCTGACTTGCTTATCAGCTCAGGAGATAAAAATCATAAAAGCAAAACAAAGAACACCTTATCTGACAGGGAACCTTAGTAAATAATGACATTTGCTTTGAAGAAGTTTAGATTTATAAGTGTGTCTCATTCAGCTTGAGTTCGACCAGTGAAACAGTAAATTCCTCAGAGGAGCAGATCTAGACAGGTGCAAACGTCTAATCCTTCTGTGAAAGCCTCCATAAAACCAGGATGTCTCGCTTTGACCACCTTGACTAATGCTGTGTCCTGTCTCAGGGAGAAGCTCAAAGATGTCCTCGACACAACCAGGATGGATGTCGGTGGACGGGACCCCTGTTCCCTGTCCCACTCCCTCTCCAGCAGCCCCATGAGCAGCCCGGGCCCCGGCACTCACTCCTGCCACGGACCAGGCCCCAGCCCCAGCTCGTGTCAGGGTCCTCGCTCATGCCAAGCGCCTGAACCCAATCCCAACCTGTGTCAAGCCCATCGCACCTGCCAGGGGCCGGGCCACATCTCGAACCAGTGCCAAGGCCCCAGACCGTGTCACGGTGCAGGCCCGGGGTCTGGACCCTGCTCGGGCCCGGGACCTTGCACAGGCTCTGACCAAGGACCCTCCTTTCCTTCACTGCCTGACAGTCTCCTCTCTGAAGGGCCATCACTCGCGTCTATCCCCGATGCTCTTAACTCCTCCTCTTCGGGCCTTCCTCCCATCCCTGACATCCTGAGCCCTATGCCTGTGTATCCCGCCGGAGTGCTGCTGGTGTGCAACAGCTGCGTGGCCTACCAGCAGTTAGTGGAGGCCCAGTCGCCGATGCGAAAGTGGGCTCTGCGCAGGAAGAACGAGCCCTTGGAGGCCCGCTTGCAGCGTCTGGAGCGCGAGCGGACGGCCAAGAAGAACAAGCGGGCGTGCGAGACGGACGAGGAGCGCGAGATGAGGAGGCTGCGGGACAGAGAGGCCAAGCGCATGCAGAGGATGCAGGAGACGGAGGAGCAGCGGGCGCGCCGGCTGCAGAGAGACCGGGAGGCCATGCGCGTCAAGAGGGCCAACGAGACGCCGGAGAAGAGGCAGGCCCGGCTGATCCGCGAAAGGGAGGCGAAGAGAATCAAGCGACGCCTGGAGAAGATCGACCCTGCTCTGAGGACACAGATAGAACACGATCCTGCCGCGATGGCTGCCCTCACGGCGGACATGAGTCTCTTTCAGTTCCCCTGCCCCATGCCGGTCCCTTCCATTGATAATGGTCTTTTCATGAAGCTGCCCTGATAGGACCAGGCCACTGGGGGGGGCATCAGCCGGCTTCTAGCAGCATCATTAACCTCTGCACTGCACCACCAGGCTGCTGTGGTCCCAGTGAACCATTCCTAGCTGGTTTGCTCCCAGCTCCTTCTGTGTCGAACAGCTTCACACACAAACTGCTTTGTTAAATACAACGAACACTTCTTCAATTTCTAATTTATTAAAGTCTAGAAAACCTTGGGAACAGGGTTGAGAATGTTTCATATCGTATGGATGATGACATAAGAGCATGTTGTAAAGAGATTTATCTGTTCGTCAGTGGACCAGCAGATTGACGCAGTTCATTCTAGCAGGAGCAGTTACACTTCCTTTGAGGAAAAAAAAAAATCTTTTGCACATGGACCTTCAGTGACGGGAGCGGGGACTCTGTAGCCACAGCCCCCTCCTTTCTGGTCCACTCCGCCAACCCAGTGACTCGGATTTACCGGTAGCTACACCTCTCTCTTCAAGCTGCTGCCGTGGGTCCCTGGGAAGTTCACATTCAGTCTAACTACTACCTCAGCCGGCGCCGGAGTCGCGCCCTCTGTCCTGTGGCTTACTGCGTTCCAACTCCAAGCTTCCAAAGCTCTATATGTACTGTACACAACTACAGAGGATGCAGGTTGTTTTCCCACAATTTGTGTTTATATATTTATCATTCAGGCACTTTAATAGGACACAAACATTCACAAGAGCGACTAATTTGCAGACGCTCCGGTTCGACTGGAGAGCGTTTGATGATAGTGTTTGTTAGCAGATGAGCTCTGAGTGTTGGTCCTATTGAACACGCCCAGCGCTGAGCTACATTCCGTTCTCCTGAGTTGTACATCTTAATGCATCCGCCTCCTTACATTCTCTTTGCCAAGATCTCTTTTCTTTACACTCTGAATATTTTGCCAATGTCATTTCTTTTTTTTCTTTTTTTTAAACGTTCTGTTACAGAGCTTTTTCTGTGGCTCATAAAAACTCAGTCTGTGCTGCTGTTATTGTACTGTACAATACATTAGTTACCTCTTCTATATATATATATATATATATATATATTGGGCTCGTTAAAGAATATTGTGCTAAAACGTTCCATTAGGTGGTCAAAAGGAAACCGTACCTAATATGTTCACCTCAGAATTTGTCACATTACTTGAATTCTGCCCGCAAAGATGCGTTTGTTTTCCTGGTTCTGAGTCCATTTACAACATGTTGTTATTATTCTACGGAGAGAATCATACACAGATAATGCAACCTCTGCTTTGTGCAATTTGTGTAGCATTCACATGCGTTGTAAAGCTGCAGTACCTTCAAAAAAAAATGTGTACCACTTAAATTTAGGTTATTTTTTTATATCCATAAGTCAGCAGATATTTATTGAGTCACACAACAGGTGGAACTTATTTTAAACACCATTTTTTTTTGTTTCTTTCTTTCTTCCGTTACTGAGCACAGCCCACACCAGGAGATTTTTATTAATCTTATATCCATTAACCTCATTCCAGCACATATTTATGCAATATGATGTGAATATATTTTTCTCGTGAAAGTGTTTTTGGGGTTATTTTGTTTGGTATAAAAAAAAAAAAGAATTGTTTTAATGCTTAATTTCGAGGCCATGTTTGAATATCCCTCGTTTAATTTCCTGCCTGTAAGGTTACCTCCAGTTTATTTGACTCCTCTTCTCCAGATGCAAACGTTCACAGTGTCAAATGAGCAGTTTCAGAAGTATTCTTTCGACGAATACGACGAGTAGTGGTTCTGTTTGAGTCACTCCTAGACGAGAGTCCGCCTACCGGGCAGTTTGTTGCAGCAAATTTAACCGAGAAAGGGGAAAAAAAACGAATAGGGACTTTTGGTTTTATCCTCAGAGACTTTTCTAGGAGTGCATCAAACCTCTATGCAACAGATGTGCTATTTATCAAGGGAAATGGATTCACTTTTCACTGAAACTATGCAGAATGCGACTTTAATTTTAAACAGACTTCAAAGTAAAGAGTTCAGCTTCTCAGGCAATTTAACTCAGTGAGAGGGCTCCGAGCCTTGATTCAACACCCTGGTCCATAAGATTCATTTATAGACCTGATGTAACAGATTTTAGGCGGTCGTGGGACTTTTCTAGAGACACTTCTCAGATGCGTTCTCTCTTCCTAGTTCAGCACACAAAAGCAACAGGGTCTCACTGCCATCCTAGTCATGACACACTCTACCAAGGGCAGATCACTGTTTTCAAAAACTAAAAGGCTTCAGGTGTCATTTATTCCTCTCCTCCTCTCTCAGACTATGAATACTGGGTATTCTCGGAGGTTGCTCTTTGATATTGCTGTGATTCCCCCCTTTTTGTCCTGCAGTGGAATAATGGGACAGAAAAACTTCAGCGTCTGTGGTCTGACATACTATTGCAAAGGAAGTACTGTGGACTCTGAGGTGGCGTTGTGTCTTTACGAGCAGTCCTCTCAGTACGGATTAGGTAAGCACTGCATGTCGTGAAACTGCACTTGTCCTAGAATGGTTCGATATGAGCTTGTGTTCTACTGTTAGTTTATGCCTGCCTGTTTTTTACAGTTTAATCAAAAAAAAAGAAGAAAAAAAAAGAAAAAAAAGATGTTGTTAAAAATGTTGGCCTTTCTATATTAATTCTATCAGGATTTTCTCTCAATGTCCATGTTTACAAGATAAATCTCTCTGAACAAGGCCAAATGAATGAGCTAAACTGCTAACGACAGTGATCTATCAATGCATTCTGACTGGATGGACCTTCGGGGACGTCATCCTCTGTTACTGGATTAACAGATGTACAGACCACGATGAAACCTGGTAAAGAATGTTGGAAATAAACATTGAGTTTATTATAATGTTTTGCCTGTTTTATACACACAAGCACACGATTACTTTGGACAAATCTCAGAACAGTGAAGGCAGAGTGGCGTCGACTCAACGACTATGCATGAGTTTTGGGGTTTTTCAAGTCTACACCTTAATCCTCACTAGGGTCATGGGGGGCTGGAGTCTATCCCTGCTGACTCAGGGTGAAGGCAGGTTCACCTGGACAGGTAACCAGTCTATCACAGGGCTACACTTAGAGACAGACAACCAAGCACACTCACATTCACACCTACGGACAATTTAGAATCACCAATTAACCTCAGCATGTTTCTGGACCTTGTGGGAGGAAGCCGGAGAACCCGGAGAGAACCCACGCTGCACGGGGAGAACATGGAGACTCCACGCAGAAACATCCCGGGTGTCCTCACCGGGATGCGAACCGGCGACCTTCTAGCTGTGAGGCAACGGTGCTCCTCTCAAACCACTAGATTTAAAATGAATTCAGAAATGCTTTTATGTTTAATTGATGTTTCTATTTTTTAACGAATACCATTGAGCCCTTAAACATTTGACTTCAACATATCTGAATTTGTGTGGTTTAAATTTAAATTGGAAGTTTCTAGTAGGTCGTTTCGGCTGATTCACACATTTAGATTAAAGTCTCCAGTTTATTTATGTACGTAAAAGTTGCTTAAATTATTCGTCTAAACCAGTGATCTCAATCTACGGTCCTTGTGAGCTACTGTCCTGCAGGTTTTAGATGTTTCCAACACACCTGACTCACATTAATGGATCATTAACAGACTTGTGTAGAATTTGACAACAAGCTGTTGGACATCCATTCATTTGAGTCAGGTGTGTGTTGCAGAAACATCCTGCAGGACAGTAGCTCACAGGGACCGGAGATGGAAATCCCTGGTCTAAACTTTATTTTTTTTACTTTAATTTTTAGATCAGAATGTGACCCGTGCATTTTGAGTGACTTGAAAGCACAATTTTGAATGTTGGACAGTTTCATTTTCTACCTGAATTAGTGAAACCCAGAGACAGAATACTTTAAATTCAACACTATAACTGGCTCACAGTTTATCTGCTGTATTAACCAGCTACACACGGCGCTGTATAGATGAAGGTTTGACATTCAAAACATGATGCAGAGTAAAATATCACAGGTTAAACTAACCAACGGTGCAGAAAGTAGCTCCATTTGATTCCATACAATCAGTGTTCTGAACAGGTCCCTTGTGTTCTTACATTTTGATACTGAGGTGCAGTTATTTTTAGTTAAGTAAAGCATCTCAAACCACTGCTTTTGTAAATGCCACCAAAGCTGGAGTTTCATCACGCCAGCTGTAGCGCATGTCCACATGTTACCAACCAGGAGTACTCAGCAGTCATTATCACGACAGCGCGGCGGGTTATTGTTTTCACCTCGTGTGTCATCGGGGTAAAATGTGCTCCTGGAGACACCCAGGGTAGCAGGAACTGCCACAGAGGAGGTTTAGAATACTTTGACAAGTGTTTATAAGTTTGTCTGTGGACAGATGTTGTCAACACGACAGTTAGTCATGAAGCTTTACAGGTGCGTGGGTGGGATTTAGAATGAAGACGATGGATGTGGGCCGATGCCTTATCTGTAATAATATAGTAATCATATGGAACTGCTGAGTACTCCGGGGTCAGGACAGGTTGAAAGACGTCTTGTTTTGGGATGTTTGACGTCCATTTGAGCACCTTTCAGACAGACAGACATGAATCACCTTTGTGGTAGTTTCAGAGGGTGTGTTCAGGACATTTCCTGTGATAACAAACAGAGACAGACAGACAGATAGACCCACAAGGTGAAAACAATGTGACTGAATGTATTTTTGTACATTCCCCTTGTGCCCACGCCCCCATGAAAATGCATTCAGTCGCTCTGTTTTCACCTTGTGAGTCTGTCTGTCTGTGTAATCAAGACAAAATGTGGCTCTGGAGACACCTACTGCAGCAGAAACTACCACAAGGGCAGTTTTGGGTACTTTGGCAGATGTTTATCTGTCTGTCTGATGAGTGAAAATGATCAAAATGATCAAAATAAAATACACTAAACGTCCTGTCATTAACATGCTGACATTCCACCCAATCAGCACTCAGCAGTCATTACTAACCCCACATTTTTACATAATTGCTTGAGGACTTAGTACACACGGGTCGAGACACACAAGCCTTGATTTCAGCCTTCATTATGACCAAAGATTCGTGTTTGTGTCGTTTTGTGACCACCTCTAGTGACATTATTATGGTGACAGACAGACACTGATCAGCCACAACATTAAAACCACCGAAATACTTAGTGGATCTCCTTTATGCCTTGAAAACAGCTCTGGTCCATCGAGGTCTGGACTCCACAGACCTCAGATGTTGTGTCCTGTGGTATCAAGGTGTTAGCAGCAGGTCCTTGAAGTCCTGGAAGTTGTGAAGAGGGGCCTGCATGGCTCAGACTTGTTTTGGGGATTGAGATCAGGGAAATTTGGAGCAACCTGTCCAGGGTGTCCCCTGCTTTCGCCCTAAGTCCAGGTGGCTGTGGGCTCAAGTGATAGAGCGGGTTGTCCTCCAGGTTGGCAGTTCCATCCCCTCCACAGTCAAAGTGTCCTTGGGCAAGACACTGAACTGGCAGTTGCTCCCACTGAGAATAAGTACAAACCATTTAAGTCAGCTGCGATAGGCTTCATCCTCTAGCTCCGCAACCCTAGTGAGGATTAAGCGGTGTATAGATAATGGATGGATGGAAATTTGGAGCTTGAGCTCTGTGTGTTGTGTTGCTCAAACCATTTCTTAGAAATGTTTGCAGTGTAGTGAATGAGACCGCAGTCATCAGGGAACACTTTTGCAATGACGGGGTGCATGTGGTTCACACCAGTGTTTAGATATGTGGTATGTATCAGAGTAGCCACATGAGTGCACATGGACCTACGGCTCTCCAGCAGAACATCGCCTCTAATGTATGTAGTGGTGGCTCAGTGGTTATAGCTGTGGCTACAGACCCTGTGCTCTGACACTAACTTACTAACAAGCAAAAAGAGAATTTCCCCGTACAGAATCAATAAAGTACACTGCTCAAAAAGATTTAAGGCAACACATGAATGATAAGTGTTCTCGTACAAATGTCAGTTGAGCTGGATGGTGCTGGGCCGTGAGCTCAGGTCCCACTGGTGGGCGTCGGGCCTTCTTGCTACCCTCATGGAGTCTGGTTCTGACAGTTTGGTCAGAAGAAACATGCACAAGTAACCGTCCGGAGGTCATTTTGTAGGGTTCTGGCAGTGCTCCTCCTTCTCACACAAAGAAGCTGTCCTGCTGATGGGTTGTTGCCCTTCTGTCCAGCTCTCCCTGTGTAGAGGCTCGTCTCCTGATATCTCCTCTTGAGACGAGTAGACACAGCACATTGTTTTGCGATGGCACGTGCCGATGTGTCATTCTGGAGGAGCTTTACCATCTGTGCAACCTGGATGGACTGCAGGTAAATGCACTTATATAGCACTTTTCTACCTTAGTGGTACTCAAAGCGCTTCACAATGTTTTCTCATTCACACATTCACACACCAATGGCGACAGAGCTGCAGTGCAAGCTACCTGCCTGCCATTGGGAGCAACTTCGGGTTCAGCATCTTGCCTGAGGACACTTCGACTGTGGAGGGGATCGAACCGCCAGCCTTGTGATTGGAGGACAAATGCTCTACCACCCAGGTACTGCTTAATGCTACCAGTAGTCACAAGGGCACAAGCAAAATGTAATATGAGACAAAAATCAGTCAGGAAAGATAAGAAAACAGAAATAGTGGACAGCTCAGTATCCCAGAAGTTTAGTTAAATTGGTGTTACACTGTGATGTTCCCCTTAAATTGTTTTGATCCAAAATAGAAAGAAAAAAATCCTGTTGCCAACTCAAGCAGCATCTGCATCAGGTGATCTTTTTTCACGGCTCCATGGTCCAGCTCTGATGCTGCACACTGCGGGTGCTTTCAGTGGCAGACAGGGATCCACATAAGCCAGCACACAGGATGCCGTGATGCACTTTGTGATCTGATCTTCCTATTATCGCCAGCATTAAGGCTTTCAGCATCCTGCGCCACAGCAGCCCTTCTGTTGAATCACACCACACGGGCCAGCCAATGCCGCCCTCACACATCAGTGGATCTCACCCTGAACCTGCCGCCAATTCTCTGTCTGCGTTTGCTCGGACCACACTCGGTAGGTACCAACCACCAGACACTGAAACTTTAATGATCTGGGGGACCTTCCACAGCTAAGCTGTGACCCTGCATCTCTACTGGATCCACCTGTGAAAGATTATTATCCTCACAATTAACCAACTTAAAACCCAGCTGGAGGTTTTAACCCCATTCAGGACTTTTGGGGTCTTTTGGAGGACATTTGGTTTGGATGACCGGTATTGTTTTTTTTTTAATTGTTTGAAGATTTGATGTATATCTACATATATATATATATATATATTATCCTCACTATATATATATATATATGTGTGTGTGTGAAGAGGAACATTTGTCAGGCATTTGGAACCAAAAATACTTATCAGAAAGTGTATTGAACATATAGTCGGCCTCAAATGTATTCATACCCTTCCATTAAAGAAAAGAAAGATAATTTACAATAGTCACTCAAATAAGTAGAAAGTGAAAAGTAATAATACATTTTATAAAAATTTGCTAAATTGTAATTTAGTGAAACAAGACATTGCGTTTCAATTGTGATAGAAAAGAGTAATTAAAAAAAAAAAACTGTGCTGGACAAGTTAGAGCACTTTGATGATGAGCAGTGAAATCAGAATACCTGTCAACAGGTGCAGAAGTCTGATTGAGAGTTACAGAAAACACTTGATTGCAGTGATTGGCTTAAAGGATTGTTCAACTAAATGTTAGTTTCTGGGTCCCATCATGCTTGTTTTTAAAAATATACAGTATATATTTCTGTTGAACCACAATTCAAAAGCAATGTCATGATTTTCATTAAATTTTTATTTATTACTTTT